GATGGTATCTGTTAACTGAGAAATCCATTGTCCTTTCTGGGGTCTACATGACTACCCACCCTATGGGTTTACTATTAACCCCCTAGAGACCCTGTCCTGGGTGGACTCGTCCAGGCCGGCCACCACTGGAGCAGTGGCTTTCCCGGGTAGGTAAGTTATTAAAGCTCTTAGGAATTTGAATAAGGCTACATGTCAGTTTTTCAGAATTGATCCTGAATTGAGACTTTGGGGGCTCTCCCCCCAACAGATGCTATTTCCCATTTTCTCAATATTCTTAACGTGGCAAATTTTGTCTATGAGTTTGACCTTGGAAGTGAAGCTAGAGTTCCACCCATCTCCCCAAAGTTCCAATTGCACTTTTCGGGGCTTTGATTTCTGATAAGAATGCTGGGAGGAGCTGGGGAGTCCACCTCTATGAGAAGACTGATCACCTGGAGTGAACAAGGAGGTTTCCTCTCCCAAGACCCCCTTCTTCCCCCACATAACGCCCAGGCCCTCTCATCCACCAGCCAGCCAGTCAGCCACTAAGCCCTTGGGGCTGGGAACCGCATTCCTTCGAAAGCTCTTGGCAATCTGTGCCTGGTGTGATGCGCTAGTTCTAAAATTGAATGAAGACCCTGTAGTGTTTCTCAGAGAAATACGCGTGGCTCTATGACATAACACATTTTTCAAGCTCTGACCTCTGGGAACTTCAACTAGCTTCATATTTCAGGCTGACACTGCGCACGGGGCACTGCCTAGTTGTCCAAGCAGAGCTGGTTATCCATATATTCTCCAGCCTCCTGATCAGCTGTTAGCAGAGGGAGGTGAGGGGAGTAAATAAAAAGAGGAGAGCCACTCATTAAATGCACTTCCCCGCCCCGAGTCCCTGGAGGAGAAGCCCTGGTAATTAAGCCTAATGAGATTAAAGTAACTTGGAACTCTTCATTTTCCCAGCACTGTGAAAGTAAATCTGTGATAACCAGCGTGTAGGCATGAATCAAAGTCAGTCCCCTTTCCTGTAATTTAGTGGCTCCCTCACCCACAGCGGCCCAGGCTGGGAGGGGAGGAGAGCTGCGGGCTCTTACCCGCACTTTGCTCCATCACTTCTTTCTGACACATGTCCTGGACGTTCACCGTGCAGTTCACGATGAACTCCGGGGAGGAGCAGTCGTTGTTCAGCTGGAACTCTTCACACTGGTAGCACTGGATCTGCAGCGCAAAGCCTGCGGGACAGACGCAGGGGGTTCAGGTCCAGCCCCTGCAAAGACCCCCGGGGTACCAGGACCCTCCCCTGCCCATCCAGCCGCCCGGGTGCTCCCCGCAGCAGGGTTTCCGAGTAAAGCCGAAGTGGCTGAAGCCGGCAGGGGGCGGCAGGGCGTCCAGGGTCCTGAAGGATGAAGCGGAGGTCTGCTGGCTACACCTGCCCCCAGCTCCGCACAAACAGCCGGAACAGCAACACACCTGGCCTTCCCACGCGCAAGTTGCAAGGGGGGCGTGCACCCGCGCGCCCGCATAGCCCCAGAGACTAGCGTCAGCTCCAGGCTACGCTGAAGGATTTGCCTAATTGTTAATTGGTTACAAATGACTTAATCACTACTTTGTGACTGCATTCGCAGACGCCTTTTTAGTTTTACTAATTTTTGAAGTCAGCTTTCCTGTGGCTCGGAGACTCCCAGGAAACCTCCCGGGGACCCGGAAGGAAGTGCCGGACACCGAGTGCCCTGGAGCCCCAAGTCCCGGCCTTCCTCCGGGACGGTTCCCGC